CAAGTTTTGTTTTGTTTTCTTTTAGTCATGTTAGAGTTCTTGTTATATCATGCTTACTTCTCTCCTTAGGAGATTGCTATCTTTGCATGAGGCTTCAACTTGAAATGTGTTTTCCATCAGAGCATCCAGTTTAGCTTGAAGCACTGGTTCTTACACAGTTTCTTTGTTCTTGGGCATTTTAGCCTATCTTAGAGATAAGGGTTGGTAGTCCAGGAACGAAGTAACAAGCATGCGAGGTCAGGTACCACAGTAACAAGTACCGCAGTAACTGACCTGACACCAGCAGCACATCTTTTCATCCATGCCTTTTAGTTTCTCCACATTTGATTATTTTGCTCAGAAGAGAAACTAACTGGCTGCATCTTGACTTTTTTTATCCTTCCTTTACACTTTTCTGTAGGATGTAAGCCACATCTGTTTCTTACTAGTCATTTGACGTACGGTTCTAATAAGGAAAATGCTTTATTTTTTGGAGCCTTTCCTCTGCTTTGTTATTCATACTGTGATGCTTCTTTTCAGTACTTTCCAAGATGTGAAATCTAGGTGTTTATCAAAAGCAAAACCCAGCCACTTTATTTGTCTGAATCTCGTTAGCTGTTGAACAGGAATGTTGAGACTGAATGATGATGAGTTTTTATTAACATGAATAGGTTTATAAAGGATTAACCTAGCTAGTTGTGTTCTATTTTTTAAGTAGTTTAAATATGAAGATGAGGTGATCCAGTAGATCTACAATCAGAAGAACAGGTGCTTTTGTTAAATAAAAAAAAAAATAAAATAAAAGAACCGCCCACTCCCTCTCCTCTGCTAAACACCAAACTATGGTATTGGAGTATGGGTATGTTTAGATATTAAATGGCCTAATTACCCTTAAAATTTTGCAAAACAAATTCAGGCTTTGCTGGATGACAGCATTTTCAGAGTGAGCGTGGGTTTGAAGCAGCAGCAGCTGACGTCGCTCCCAGGTGTCCGTAGGAAGCGCCAGAGGTGCGCCTCGCTTGCCTGTAGGTACCAGTGTTGCAAAGATGAATGCTGATTCTGAGTCAGGGTTGCTTTGTGATCTCCCTAGCTGGTTTTATGTGAAGCTTTTCTTTTTTTTCTTTTTCAAAGGGCAGGGAATGGTAAATGTGAGTCAGATTTTTTTTTTCTTTGGTAAAATCCTTTTTCTTTAGAAAGAGTAGCCACAAAGTGGTGTTTGTTCAGACTCAGTGAAAAAAAAAATCTGCTTTGCCCACCAGCACCAAAATTCTTTCTCCTGAACCGCATCCTCTTTGCCCTATTTGGAGCCAAACTAAGGACTGCTTCTCTTCATCTGTTACACACAGAGTCTGCTAGTAATTTCTTTTCTGTTTTATTTAGTTAATTCTTGCTCAGGTCTTGCCATATGGTCAGCAGCCTTTCCAGTTTTTGGTTATCTCTGCATAAAAAGGGGCTTAATTTACTTTACTTAGAATTTTTTTGATGTACTCTTTGATACTTTATTAAGCAGTTTATTATGTAGATATACTTAACACATGGCGTGTTTTGCAGGCATGTAAACTTTAATCAGGTATATCCCAGGATGCTTAGTGTCTGCCACAAATGTTTGGATCATGTGTTATGTTGGGCAGTGATATATCAGTCCTGTGATAAGGATTGTGATCCTGCCTTGTGCTTTTGTACTGGTAATGCTTAGGGTCCATTTCCCTTTTTGTAGCAGTCATTTGGACAGTTATCCATTCCCTTCAGGTCTCGATATCGTCTGAACAGTTGCTGCCTCTGGCTGCCTGTGCCAAAATGTCTTAGTTTGGGTAGTTGGGTTTACCTTTATAATCCTGGCAAAATAGTAGTTTGAGCATAAAAATGGCAAGACTACCAGGTGACTTCAAGGTTTATTTTTTGGGCTAGCTGGGGTAAATTTTGTACCTGCAAACGTTTGTTCATTTGAGGTGTGTAAGCATGCGTGCATCTCAGTGGGTTGTCAGAAGCTTTATTCACAGTTGTGGTAGAGCGTTGGGATTAAGCATCTGAAAGAAATGTAATTGCTACTTATATTGCAGAAACAAATACAGTTTTAGGGGTTTCTTTTGTTGAGCATCTGGGAAATAACAAGGGGAGTGCAATCAGTACAGGTGTGATAAAACTTGAATTACTACAATTCAGCGTTCTGGGCGTGTTAGTGCTAAGACATAATCTTGCCAGAAGACTCAGGTGAATGGATTCATTTAAAATGAGCAGAAACTGTTTCTGCTCGGTTATTGAATGTAGGGGTTTTTTTGACTGTTAATACCTGAAATTGTCATCTCTCTTTTTTTTTTTCAGTGTGTTGTGTATTTTATGTTTTTTGGAAAGTCTCTTGGTTAACATGCTGGGTATATTCCCAAACACTCAAAAAAATACTAAACATATGCAGCAAATTGTCACAGTTTAAAAGTGGGGGTGAGGAGGGCTTTATTTTTTTCTTAACAGGGACAAAAGGAAAGAAAAAAAAAAGATATAAAATCTGAATTTACAAGTCTACGTGAGTTTATCCCACTCAGGGAGGATTATGTGGCACAAGAGATTCTGAGTACCAGGGTAACTCTGTTATTTCAAAGGTGAGCTACGGGTCACCCAGCTTGCAGAGCTGATGAGAAGAGGCACCGGCCTTCGTATGAAGTTCAGCCATAAACAACTGGGAGCAATAACTTCCTAAACTGTTGCCACCTAATAAACAGATCTGTCTACACTCTGAAGCAGCTCCCGTAAGGCTTCTGTAACTGATTTTTAGTATTTTGTTTTCAAATAAATGTTTTTACGTATCTACTCTGCAGGTTATGTTATTGATTACAATATGACTTGTTATGGTTGAGAAGGATTTACTCTTCTAAACAGAGAGAACTGAATAATCTCTCCCATTTTACCTAATCTAGATCCTTAGAAAGTGGATATTGTCCTTCCTCCTCACCACCTCTCCTCCAGGATTGAAGTGGGTTTTCTCCAGCTTAGAAGACTTAAAAATCCCCCATTTTTTAAAAATTTTTCTCTAAATGTATAGAAATATGTGCCTGCTACTGTAAGTAGGCTCATAGGTGAGGATTTTCACATATTGCACATGATCCTGGGCAACCGGCTCTGGGTGGCCCTGCTTGAGCAGCGGAGTTGGACCAGATGACCTCGAGAGGTCCCTGCCAACCTCAATCTTATTATGTGGAAAAATAGTATTTTAATTTGTAACAGTTGATGTGAAGAATGCCTGTAATCTGGTTTGAAAGCTTCAACTCTAGCCCTTGTTCATAGGGGTAACATGTAGGTAAAGATATGATTTAGCTTTAAAGGGTAACATGTAGGTAAAGATACGGTTTAGCTTTAGAAGTTTACTTTGGAAACTTTATTCACTGGCATTTCACTGATAAAGTCACAATTTAGTAACGGAGACAAATAGACAAATAGCATATTCATAAGAACATTGAGGAAGCCTCTATATGACTGAATATTTTACGTATATTGAAAATGTCTCTTTGAGTAGTGACTGAAATGTGAGAATTACAAAGTAGACCTGAAATAAAGGGTTGCAGATGTATTATTTCAGCTTACAGATTTACTGCAGAGGATGACCAGTACTGAAGAGCTGCTTATTCAGAGTTTTACCCTAATATTTCAATGTGCAGTTCTGAGCTTATTTTAGGATTTAGGACATGTAATTGCATAACAGTTGATTTCCGATCATTATTGTGGTATCAGAATGGTTCTCAAGTGTTCATTGAGTCTGTCCTCTTGAAACAAAGACTATTTTTATTCCTTTTTTTTTTCCTGTCTGTGAAACAAAGAGTATTTTAATTCCCATTTTACAAGGGGGAAATGAAGGCAATGAATGATTTAATATCGGGATTATTTGCGAATTTGGGCATACATCTAGATCCTGATTTCTCTTTGTTCCCACACGTGTTTTTTTCCACTGTATCTGGCTTCATATACAACTTCACTTCAAAAGCGTTGACTTCAGCTGCGGCTGTAATGCTCAGTACTTCTGCAAGTCAGATCCAGAGATCTTAACAGAAGCACCAGAAAATGAGAAATACGTAAATAATGGCCAAATGTGAAAAAACATTGAAGGAACTTGTTAAGGAACTTGTCCATTACCTTTTAGCGATCCTGTGATGTCAGAGGTGGAATCACTCACTCCAGTTAGCTCTGCATGCGGCGGTGGTACAAGGAGCCTCTGGAAGGGAAGTAATTGCTTTAAATAGTCATGAAACCATCTGCAGCTTTCTGAGAGTAAAGAAGTCACTCCATATCTCACTGTGAATGTCAGAGGAACTTTGTGATTATTTTTGTTTTATTTTTTCCCCTTTTATCTCCACAAGGCATAGCTATCCCTAAATGGAAGACACTGAAGCCTTACATCTGGTCGTGCATATTTTTCTTTGTCTTTATGTAATTCATGTAAAGTTAATTGTGGTTTGGGTTTTTTTTTTGTTTTTTTTTAATTCTCTTTCGTCTACAGGTAGTGGTTGAAATCTCAAGTGTACTGAGAACAAATAAATGTGCATTTTTTTATGGTCTTACTGTCTTTTTTTCCCTGAAGTCTCTCATATTAGTGCTCTTCAAAATAAATCTCCAGTCTGATACTGAAACAGTCAAGTAGTGAATTTTAATTTCATTACTTGTCACAGGGTAAAAAATGCACTTCTTACGATCTGTTCACTTACTGGCTTTTCAGTGCTTTTCTTCCTGATAAAGGAGTGAAGTGTGGTATCAGAGGATTTACTACTGTAATGTCAAAGCATGGCAATGACCTAAATAGAACTGACACAAAATAGCTTTCCAGACATATGGAATGGTGACAGTCAGATACTCTGATCAGCATAAAAACACTTGATGTATTTTATCGAAAGGTTTATTTAACAATAGTAAATATATCCTTTTTGAGAGTCTGCTGGGGATGGCAGTGAAAGTATTCTTTTTAATAATTCTGTAATAATGATAATAACTTCCAGAGCTAAGTTGTTAACACTATGTTTTTATTTTTCTTTTCACAGCCCACATACTGGGTGGCAGAATTATCAGCCTGATGTGCCCCGGATTCCCACTGCTTGCATCTCCGTGGAAGATGCTGAAATGATGTCACGGATGTCTTTCCGGGGCACCAAGATCGTTGTGCACCTGAAGATGGGGGCTAAGACCTATCCAGACTCTCCTTCCTTTAACACAGTGGCAGAGATAGTTGGAAGCAAGTACCCAGAGCAGGTGAGTGAGAATATACAGAAAGAAACTTTTTTTGTTCTTTAAAAATACGAAAAAACAAAACCAAAGAACAGCCCTTCCTAAGAAATCCCTCAAACAAGTAACTCTTCGTCACCTACTCTTCTACATTTCAGACATCTCAGCTTTTCAGTATTTTTCAGGTAACAGCTTTGAAACCACCAGGCTCAGTTCTAACGTACTAGGGTATCTTTTAGAAAAGTATAAGAATTACTGTGTTCTGAGAACAGGAAATTCAACTAAATTGTACACAATTTAACCTCCTCCTTTTTCTTTCACTGGCTTAAAGCTCACTTTAAATACTACCATCTGCATAGGCTTACAAAGAAGCATGTATTGTAAGCAGAAGTGAAATCCTGTCACTGTAACTAACACAGCTATTGTTTAAAATAACAAGTAGTAAGATAAGGTTGCCATAATGATTTGTACTTGGGGCTTGCTTATTGTTCTGTTAATAATCTTCAGGTGGTTTCTTGATCAGGTTCTGATCAAGAAACCTGTTCTGTTGTCCAGAAATAAAATTGTTTTGCTTGAGTTTTTCCTCAACTGTAAAAGTGAAAGCATAATGTCAGTTAAACTTTTTTGAAGATGTTTTTTCTTGTGCAAATCATTGCTGCGTTAGCAGGAGTTGTATGTGTGTTAGTTTGGAGGAGTAAACCATCTGTGCTAAAAAGTATCTGCAAATCCTGTTTGAACACTAGTTAATCCTAAATTGTTGGTTTCCATTTTAAGATTTTTCTTCTTGTTTCCTCTTTTCTTCAAACTTCTTAGGCAGAAATCATACAAACTAAATTTGTGGTGCTGAAGGATTTGTGCCTGGTATGAGGTCTTCCATGTCAGCTTACAACATGGGATGATTTTTCTGGCAGTATGGTTTATTGTGAAAATGCTGATGCAGCCTCCATTACAGCAGCACTAGAAATTGCTGCTGAAGTACATCTACTGAGCCACAATTCTTTTTTAAACATTGTAGTTTTCTAACTTCAATGAAAAATAAGAATGACTGTCTCTGTCCTTTAAACCACGCATAGTTCTGACAAGATTTTATCTTTCCTGAGATGGTAGTTCTGCAGCTCTGTCTTGTGATGTCTAGAGATTCTCAGTGTTAGCATGAATGTACGGTTTCAGAAGGCTGATCACTGGGCAGGGAAAAAGTAACAGCCGTCATGGTTGATGGGTTTACATACCATCACCTATGAGTTTAGCTTCATGAAACATATGTTTACCGAGTTAAAGACAATGCCTCAGCTTCTAAATTAGGGTACAGCTACTTGAATTTTATGTCATCTGGATTTTAGCAGTGCTTCTAACCAGCTAATGGGCTGTCTTTCCTGAATTATATTTGGTGTATTTCAAAATTACGACATTTCAATTCACATTATAAAGTGTCCAAATGTAACCTTCAAAGGTGCATTAAGATGCTTGCATGTTCTTGATTTTCTCTTTGCTGCCCTGCTGTTTCTTTAAGTAATGAAATGGATTGGGAACTCTTCACTTCTTCCACTGAGAAGCTTAGTTTTTTTGAAACACTGGGTAAAGACTTATTTACAAGCCCCCTGCTGATGTTAACGGGAGTGGTAGTGGACACACTTTGAAAATGTAACCAAGAAACAGAAAAATAAAACAAGTGAATGTTTAGGTTTTTTAGTACGCAGTTCCTCTTGGAGCCTTAATGGGTGCTTCACCATGCTCATTCCACTGTGTTACTCCGGTAAAAATGGGAACCATCTAGCTATTTAGGCAATAAAATACATTGCAGACCCAAACTCTTACAATGCCAAAGTGTTTCAAAATGCATTACAAATCCAGGGGAATAGAAAGGTGCCATTTCCACGCGCCAAAATTTCAATTTAAGTTTTGAATTGAAACTAAAGCAAACCTGGATCTCTGAACTCTGGGTGAGAAATCAGCAGCGGGTGGTATCGCTCTTGCAAAGGTCTAAAGCAAAACAGTTTGAAATTAGACTGAAGCCTGTAAGAGTAACTGGTCACAGGTATTGCAACAAATTATAACTTAAAAAACTGGAACTTAATTGAAAATGGGGGTCACTGTAGGATACTGAAGAAGTCTGGTGAGAAGTGATACAGTTCTAGATGTAACTGCGTGTTAGGCATGTTTGTGTTCATCTATATGTTGACCAGAATTTAATACACTGCTTGATTTATAAACAGTCCATTAATTCCTCCTGTGAGATTTTAGCATGTTTATTAGTATAATCACCAAGAACTGAAATCGTATTTGTCTGAAAATTTTATCTGTTACAAGCCATGTCGAATATTATTACTAAAATCCTTGAAAGGGGAAAACAATTTATTGATTTTTCCTACCTTTTTTTTTTCTTTATTTTACCAGTTTTGCAGCATGTCCAGTTCAGTTCCTCCTTTTTAAGTAATTTTTCCAAGTGTTCTGTGTGGATTCTTGCATACAGCAATGGAGGGGGGAAAAAAAACCCTAGAAAAATGTTAAGAAAAACGGGAAAAAAAAGCAGTTTAAATACTTCTGACATATTTTCCTAAAAGTTTGCTTTATTTTAGAGTTAGTGTTCTTAAAGTCTTGTAATACATGCTTTGTTCTGCTGTTGCAAGAAATGTTTGATATCATCGAAACTGATACTCAAAACTGTCAAACTTGCAAACCTTTGTTTAGGCACCTGTGCTTATCTTTGCCACATTTATGTTTCTGAACAGCTTAAAGCAATAAAAGAAATATAATTACTGCTTTGTGAAGCATCAAGCTCTCAGGAATGCATTCATCTTCAGAAGCAATGATGTGACATGGGTGCAGATGTCCTGTTGCTTTCTGAGGCAGCTCTGCACCCAAGGCACGCAGCTACTTTTGAAAAGTTAACCCGCTGATACTTCAGGTTTCTGTTCTGCTTTATCCTTTCTGTTTGGCCAGCCAGTAGCAGTAAGCAAATGCTTTAGCATCGATTACTCCAACTAAGAAAAATGTACTTTGAAACCTACTGTAAGTTGCAACTTTGCACTACCAAGTTTTCAGGTGGTGTAGAAAGCATCTGAACAGAAAAAGGAAATGGGTTTTGTCATGCTGTCAGTAGAGTTCAGCGTCTCACCAATGTCTCTGTTCTGTTTATCTCTGTATTATCCTTTCTAAGTTAGGGAAGGGCTGCTCTCCCCAGACAGGACCCTTGCTAATGTCAGAGCGGGCATGACTGTGCGTGTTCTGAGCAGAGACCTCCACCATCCTCGCTGTCAGTCCCGAGGTCCTCGTTTAATGCCTGCTGACGCCTGAATCCCTGTAAGTGCCCAAAGGAGGCGAGCCTGTGCCCGTAAGATAATGAGTTCAAGATCAAGTTTTTCTTCATTGGAAGCAGTGGGACCAAACATGCTATGACTTGATACCCCAGCAGCCTTTCTGAGCTTGGGATCTCATTCTCACGGTGCTTAGGACAGCAGTGAGAGTGAAAAACCTGTGGGTTGTGGGACTTATCATATTTAAGCCTGCATGACTGCTGACGGTTGAGCCAGAGTTTTTGAGATGAGAAAGGTATGGTAGCAGAACCTGCTGAGGTCCAGGCTACTGCAGGTTAGACATTTGCAGTCCATTCCTGACTTTTATCTTGGAGAAGGAGTTTTTGAAGCACACTGTTGAACCTGGGACTATGCTGTTTGCATGGTCCTTTTCTACTGTACTGTGTATTGGTGAGATGTTTTATTTAAACTATGTAAGCTGACACTGGAGACTGACTGACTGAGCAATTCACAAGTTAACTAATGTGGTTTTCATTTGAAATTCAGGCAGAGCTGGCAGTAAAACATGTTTGTCATCTCATTTTAATACAGATGTAACATGATTGGTCTTAAAATGCAGAAGCAACTGTTCGCATCTCTGGGGAAATGCTATAAATAGTGGCTGTTTCTTGTTAGTCTGGCTTCAATGTATCTAATGTGCCAAACACAGAACCACAAAATACTTGATTAACTGAAAAGGTATCAAAGTGGCTAAAGATATAACTCTTCTATAATCCTGACTTTCAGTATCTTTCCGTTCTGTGTATTTCTTGGTGTGCAGTGCTGTTCTACTTATCTTACAGTTACTAAGTGATGGGAAAACTGTTTCCTAAGTGCTCTACAAAGTACATAAATTTAATGGTTGTTCCTTATTCTGTGATCTAGCATAAATACTGTAGAGCACAAACGGAGGGGCTCATAAGTGGCTTTTTTGGAATCCTGAACAGCTATTCCAGGAATTCACTCTACACTGCTTTTTTGCCTCCTGTTTTTATGGCGTGCCATATCTACAAAATGTACCATTTGAAAAGTGACTCTATTTTGAACACCACAGGCATAAAAGACCATTGAAGAATGTACTGTAGCTCTGAGCCAAGTTTGGACAGCACTTTGAAAGTAGCAGTCCTAGGAATGACCTGAGAAACAGAGATGCTAAGGTAATAGATTGTGAAGTTCTTTACCAATCTGTGATTGATGTAACAGAACCTGTTGTACAAAGGAAACAGCAGCTTATTTAGTTTTTCATTCTTTTTCCTTTCCCTATTTCAAAAATCAGCTCTGTCTCAGAATTTGTGATACTGGGCAAAGCTCCAGGGAACAAGACAACATGAAAATTGTCCAGGCTTCTGAGCCTGTTAGGCATTCACGCACATAAGGGAAGAAATGGTGTTCCCCAGGGCTCACTGTTGGGGCCAGCTCTGTTTAATACCTTTATCGATGATCTGGACAAGGGGATTGAGTGCACCCTCAGTAAGTTTGCAGACAACACCAAGCTGGGTGGGAGTGTTGGTCTGCTGGAGGGTAGGAAGGCCCTACAGAGGGACCTGGACAGGCTGGATCGATGGGCCGGGGCCAACTGCATGAGATTCAATAAGGCTCAGTGCTGGGTCCTGCACTTGGGTCACAACAACCCCAGGCAACGCTACAGGCTGGGGGAGGAGTGGCTGGAGAGCTGCCTGGCAGAAAAGGACCTGGGGGTGTTGGTTGCCAGCTGCCTGAACATGAGCCAGCAGT